GCACCGCGCCCCGCACCGCGCCCCGCACCGCGCCCCGCACCGCGCCCGGCCCCGCTCCTCACCGCGGCCCGCGCCAGCACGAACACGGCTTCCTGGCTGGCCAGACCGACGTCCGGGTCGGCCTTCACCAGCGCCTTCACGCGGGACAGCGGCAGCCGAGCAGCGCGGCCCGATCCCGCACACGGCACCGCACCGCCCGCATCTTCCACCGCCTCCGCTCCCGCCGCCGCCGCCGCCATCCCGCACCGCGCATGCGCAGAGCAGCGCAGCGCCACCGGGCGGAGCTCGCTCACCGCGGTCATTTCCGCACCGCCGAGATCCGCCGCTGGGGGGCGCTGCTCCCGAAACCCGAACGCGGTCCGCCGGGCTCCTCGTGTCCCCAGCGCGGCTCTGCTCCTCTTGCTGTCCCCAAATGCGTCCCTCCATCCGCTCTGTGCCCCAAATCGCAGAACCATAGAGCGGCCTGCGCTGAAAAGGATCACAATGATCATCGGTTCCAACGCCCTGCTGTGTGCAGGGCCGCCAACCACAGAACCACAGAATGGCCGGGGTTGGAAGGGACCCCAAGGACCGTGAATCTCCAACCCCCTGCTGCATGCAGGGCCACCAACCTCCCCATTTCACAGCAGCCCAGGCTGCCCAGAGCCCCATCCAACCCGGCCTTGAACACCTCCAGGGATGGACGGGGCATCACAGCCTCTCTGGGCAGCTGTTCCAGCCCCTCACCACTCTCACAGCACAGAACTTCCCCTGACATCCAACCTCCATCTGCCCTCCCTCAATTCAAACCATTTCCCCTTGTCCTGCTGTCATCTCCCCTTGCACAGAGTTGATTCCCCTCCTGTTTGCAGGCTCCCTTCAGGCACTGCAGGCTGCACTGAGGTCACCCCCAGCCTTTTTTTTCTCCATGCTGAACAAGCCCAGCTTCCTCAGCCTGTCTTTGTAGGGAGGTGCTGCAGCCCCTGCTCATCTTCGTGGCTCCTCCAGACCCTCTCCAACAGCTCCCTGTCTTTCTTGTACTGGGGGCTCCAGCCCAGGCTGCCCAGAGCCACATCCAGCCTGACCTCGAATGTCTGCAGGGATGGGGCATCCACAGCCTCCTTGGGCAACCTGTGCCAGTGCCTCACCACCCTCTGGGTGAAAAGCTTCCTCCTCATATCCAACCTAAACCTCCCCTGTCTCACTTTAAAACCATTCCCTTCTCCTATCACCATCCACCCTCACAAACAGCCGTTCCCCTTCCTGTTTATAAGCTCCCTTCAAGTACTGGAAGACCACAATGAAGTCTCCCCCTCCATCCTCCCTGCGCCCCAAACACAGCTCCCCAGCCTCCCCGTGTCCCAAATATGGCCCTCCTTTCACTCTGTGCCCCCAAACTCAGCCCTCCATCCACCCAATACCCCAAATATGGCCCTCCATCCTCCCCATGCCCCAGATACGGTCCTCCATCCACTCTATGCCCTGAAACCCAGACCTCCATGATCCCCGTGCCCCATACACAGCACAGGTGGAGCCTGGAGGGGGAATAGTAAAATTGCTACCTTGGACTTCAGGAGGGCAGACTTTGAATTGTTCAGGGGACTAATAGGGGGAGTCCCCTGGCATTCAGTCTTAGCAAGTAAAGGGGTCCAAGAGAGCTGGTTGCTCTTCAAGAAGGAAGTCTTAAGGGCGCAGGAGCAGGCAGTCCCCCTGAGCTGCAAAATGAGCCGGCAGGGAAGAAGACCAGCATGGATGAATAGGGAGCTATTCCTGAGGCTCCGGGAGAAAAAGAGAACCTACCGCCTGTGGAAAGAGGGACAGGCAACTCAGAATGAATATAAGGAAGTCGTTAGGATGTGTAGAGGTGAAATCAGAAAGGCAAAAGGCCAGCTTGAATTTAACCTAGCCGCTGGGGTGAAAAGGAATAAGAAACTCTTTTATAAATACATTAACAGTAAGAGGAGGACAAAGGAGAATATCCACTCTTTGCTGGATGAGGCTGGGAATGTGACCACTGAGGATAAGGAAAAGGCGGAGGTTCTGAATGCCTTCTTTACGTCTGTCTTTAAAAGTCAGACCAGTTATCCTCAGGATACCCCTCTCTCTGACCTGGTAATCTCGGCTGGGGAGCACACTAACCCCCCTGTGATTCTGAAAGAAACAGTCAGAGACCTACTGCTCCAGCTGGACTGTCACAAGTCGATGGGGCCAGATGAGATCCACCCGAGAGTGCTGAGGGAACTGGCGGAGGTGATAGCCGAGCCGCTTTCCATCATCTGTCAGCGCTCCTTGTTGACTGGTGAGGTCCCAGAAGACTGGAGGCTTGCCAGTGTGACTCCCATTTACAAGAAAGGTCGTAAGGAGGATCCGGGGAACTACAGGCCTGTCAGCCTGACCTCGGTGCCAGGGAAGGTTATGGAGCAGATCGTCTTGAGGGAGATCATGCGGCATGTGCGGAATGAGCGGGGGATCAGGCCTAGCCAGCATGGGTTCATGAAGGGCAGGTCCTGTTTGACCAACCTGATCTCCTTCTATGATCTAGTGACCCATCTGGTGGATGAGGGAAAGGCTGTCGATGTGGTCTACCTAGACTTCAGCAAAGCCTTTGACACTGTCTCCCACAGCATTCTCCTGCAGAAGCTGGCAGCCCGAGGCTTGGATGGGTACACTCTTGGCTGGGTAAGGAGCTGGCTGGAGGGCCGGGCACAGAGAGTGGTGGTGAATGGAGTCAAATCCAGCTGGCGACCAGTCGTGAGTGGTGTTCTCCAGGGGTCGGTGCTGGGGCCTGTCCTCTTCAATATCTTTATTGATGACCTGGATGAGGGCATCGAGTGCACCCTCAGTAAATTCGCAGATGACACCAAATTGGCTGGAAGTGTGGATCTGCCTGGGGGTAGCGAGGCCCTACAGAGGGATCTGGACAGGCTGGAGAACTGGGCTGGAGCCAATGGGATGAGTTTCAACAAGGCCAAATGCCGGGTCCTGCACTTCGGCCACAACAACCCCAGGTGATGCTACAGGCTTGGGGCGGTGTGGCTGGAGGACTGCGTGGAGGAAATGGACCTGGGGGTATTGATTGATGCTCGGCTGAACATGAGCCGACAGTGTGCCCAGGTGGCCAAGAAGGCCAATGGCATCCTGGCCTGCATCAGAAACAGTGTTGCAAGCAGGAGCAGAGAGGTGATTGTTCCCCTATATTCAGCACTGGTGAGGCCGCACCTCGAGTACTGTGTCCAGTTTTGGGCCCCTCACTGCAAGAAAGATATTGAGGCCCTGGAACGTGTTCAAAGGAGGGCAACAAAGCTGGTGAGGGGTCTGGAACACAGGCCATATGAGGAGAGGCTGAAGGAGCTGGGAATGTTCAGCCTGGAGAAGAGGAGGCTCAGGGGAGACCTTATTGCTCTCTATAACTTCCTGAAGGGAGGTTGTAGTGAGCTGGGGGTCGGCCTCTGCTCTCGTGTCATCAGTGATAGGAGCAGAGGGAATGGCTTCAAGCTACGGCAGGGGAGATTCAGGCTGGACGTTAGGAAGTATTACTTGTCAGAAAGGGTGGTCAGGCACTGGAATGGATGCCCAGGGAGGTGGTGGAGTCACCGAGCCTGGGGGTGTTCAAGGAAAGACTGGATGTTGTGTTGAGGGACGTGGTTTAGTGGGAGCTACTGGGAATAGGTGAACGGTTGGACTGGATGAGCTTTTAGGTCTTTTCCAACCTTGGTGATTCTATGATTCTATGATTCTTCCACTCTATGACCCAAATTCAGCCCTTCACTCTCCCTGTGCCCCAGCCGTGGCCCTCAGTGCTCTCTGTGCCCCAAACACAGCCCTGCAGCCCCCTCCCCCCATTACCCTGACACATCCTTGGCGCCCCCCATCACCCCCAGGCACCCCCCTGCCCTCCTACCCCTCCAAACAGCGCTGAGGTTCCTCTCATCACCTCTGTCCCCAAATCCCCCCCTACCCCCGCCTCCAAACTCAGCCTTTCAGCCTCCCATGCGTGTCCCTCCAGCTCACCAACCCCACAGCATCCCCTGAGCTCCTTCCTCACCGCCGTCCCCAAAGCTCTGCGGGCAGGAGGTGGTGGGGACTCCCAGCCCCAGGATGTGGCTGTCCCGGCCCCGTTGGCTCCCATTGGGTTTGGTGCTGCTCACCACCCTGGAAGTCCCCACGGCCGCTGACGGGGCTCTGCTCGGCCCGGCCTGCCGGGGGTGTCCCCGTCCCCAGGGGTGGGCGTAAAGATCCCCCCGAATCTGAGCCGTTCCGTAGTCCTGTGCCGATCCTACGGCCTCGGGTCGCTCCCAAAGCCCACGTTCGTTTCTGGGCGGGGCAGCAGCGGCACTCGGTGTCCCCATCGACGGCACGGAGCCGCTCCCCGCCACCCCCCTCCATCGCTGTGCAGTCAGGCCGCAGCCGCTTCCTGGCGTTGCGCTCAGCTCCTTGCCAACCCAGCGTTAGGAAAGAGCTTCTGCTTTCAGCGCCGGGGAGCTCCGCTGCCGTCGGAGGTGTTCACCTCCCTCGGGTCCTTCTGCTCGGACGGCCGCGATGGTGTTCAGGAGGGAGGAGAGCTCACAGGGCAGCGGCCGTGGATGGGAAATGGTGAGTGCGAGCTGCCGGGATGCGTGCGGGAGAACCGGGTCCGACCCGCACCCTCACGTCCTCACAGCCACACCGGGATGGGGTCAGTCAGAGCTCCGGAGCTCCATGAGCAGCTCCCGGGGTGGGTGAAGGAGCGGGCAGCACCGGGGCTCAAATATATCAGAGAGGAGAAAGCATCTCAGTGCCAAAGCTGCTGCACCGGTCGCTGTGACAGCGGCGCCGTTCCCCGACGGCGCCACCGCGGGCGGCTCCGTGTCCCCGTTCACAGAACGGCTCTGACGGTCACAAACACCGGAACGGTTCACATCCAAAACCCCACGGCGTGCTCGGAGCACTGCAGAAATCCCCTTTTATCACCGTTTTTTTCGCTGCCTTACGTTGTAGGACGCGGCCAATGTGCGCCGTTGAGCCCTTGGCGGGCTGTGCCCGGGGACGAGGGGCACCCGTCCCCATTTAACACCTATTTAATGCCCACATTTGAGCTCTCACGGCTGAAAATGTCGCGCTGGCTTCTCTGCGCTCCGGCCCTTCTGTTGTGAAAGAAAACAAAGTGATGCAAGCACAGCCCGAACCGAAATCCCGAGAGGAGGAGAACTGCAGAACCCGAGCGGGTGGAGCAGAGCCCCGATGTGTGCAGTGCTGCGACCGGGAGCGTGGGGGGGGGGGGATAGAAAGGAAAAGGGAGATGAGGAGGAGGGGAGAAGATCACCTCTCCCCCTGGGTCGGGTCGATCCGGGTCGGTACCCGCGATGCTCGTGGGACAACGCTGCGTCGCGGCCGTGCGCCCCAGTTCTGTGCGCCCATCGCGGGGTGAGCAGCGCAGGAAACGCTCCGCTCAGAAAAGTGGGGCAGATCCGCCGCTTCTCGGCTTCTTTTTTTTTTTTTGTTGTTGGTTTGTTGGTTTTTTTTGCCCTCAGCCAAAACGGCTTCCGGCAGCGCCGTCGGGGCTTTGCTGTGAGGGAGCGCAGCCGCGCTCCTTCGGGGCGGATCGGGGCAGAGCGGTGCGCGACCCCGCGGCGTTGGGGCCCCGGCGGCGGTGGGACGTGCCGGGCAGAGCAGCTGCAGGACTGGCCGGAGCTCAGGGCGCTCCTCACCTTTCAGGCTCGGGGAGGCACCGCCGCGTTCTCGGCTTTTTTCAGTAACGGCAGAATCGGAGCTTTCCTTCATCCCCGCAGGAAAACCCGGAGGGGAAAGAGGCGGCGGGGAGACACCTGAGAGCGAAGCTGAAGGACGGCAGGAAGCCTCCCCCCGCAGCGGGCGGACCGGCACGGGGTCCCCCCTCAGCTTTCCCAGCGACGGAGCCGGCCCGGGCGCTCACGCCGGGTTCCAAGGGGGAGCCGCCCCCCGCGTCCCCCTTCGCCGGGAGGGTGGGCATCGGCAGAGCCCCTCCGCCGCGCAGCACAGCTCAGAGCGAGGGGCCCGGCTCCCGTCCGATGCCCGTTCCCCAGAGCCCGGAGTGGATGGCGCGGCTGAAGAAGGGCGTCGCTCCGAGGGCCGCCTCCCAACCCCCCGCGGCCAAGCCGGGAGGACGGGACGCGGCGGACGATAAGGGGGTCGGAGCCACCTCCCATCCCCCCCCGAGGATCCCAGCCCCGCACAAATGGCCGCTGCTCAACGACGCGGCCGCTCCGGCGCTCCCCGCTGCAGGCGCGGCCGCCGCCGGTGGGATCCGGGGCTCGGGGCAAACTCCGCGCAGGAAGCCGCTGCCGCACGCCGCGGAGCTGGGAGCGAGGCCGGCAAAACCCCGGCGGCCTCCGGGGGTGGATCTGGAGAAGTTCCATAGGGCTGCAGCCCCCGGGGAGCCCGGCCGCACTGCTGTGGGGTCGCGGAGTGCTGTGCTGGGTAACGGCGTGGGGATGGGGATGGGTGTGGGGTGGGGATGAGGATGGGGTGAGGATGGGGACGGGGTGGGGATGGGTACAGGATGAGTGTGGGGATGGGGGTGGGTTGGAGCCGGGTATGGCATGGAGATGGGTGCAGGGATGGGATGGGTACAGGATGAAGATGGGGATGGGATGGGGATGAGGTGGGGAAGGGGTGAGAATGGTATGGTGTGGGGATGGGGATGGGATGGGGATGGGTACAGTAGGGTGTTGGGTGCAGCATGGGGATGGGGATGTAAATGAGTTGGAGATGGATACAGGTTGGGCTGGGTATGGGAAGGACTGGGTCTAGGATGGGAATGGGGATGGCATGGGGTGCAGGCAGAGCTCTGGCTGATGGGACCACACTGCCAGCTTGGTGTCTTCCTCCCCCATGACGCAGGGCTTGGTGCCATGGGGGTGTGCTGGTGTCCGTTGGGCTCAGGCCCCACTGAGCTGTGATGGCCTTCCAGAGCTGAGCACATTTGCTGCTTTCTAACAGCTTTAAGCTTCTTTCAAATCCTGCTTCTCCCTCAACTTCTCCAAGTTCTTCTCCACCATCCTGCGATGTTTCCTTATTGCCCATCTCACACCAGGACTGGGCTGCTGTACAACCTCCTCCTTTCCTAAGGAGAACCGCACACCCCAGCTGCTTTCTGGTGCTGCTCTTTGGGTGTGCTGCTGGCTCTTTCCCCCACCCTGCTCTGCTCCAGCACTGGCCTGGGGGTTCCTGAGCCCCAAGCTGAGCGGCAGACTCCAAAGAACCCCTTGTTGCTTCTTTTGTCCCAGGTTACCCAGCGCCGTTCCCACCGCGGGATGCTCTGAGCACAGCAGGGTCAGTACTGAGGAAGCACTTTTATTTTCGGGGTCTCTGACTGAGTGGGAAGAACACAAGAAGGAATGGTGGGAGGGTGGGTCGGGGCCCCCCGTGATGCACCCCCAGGGGTGCAGAGATCATCCTGGGTGGCTGATGGCTCCCTGACGGTGCTCTGCTCCGTCCCAGAGGTGAGGAGGAGATTTATGACGACGTCGAGAGCGTTGAGCTGCTCAGGAGAGACCGAAGCTTTCCGCCGCCCCCCACGTTCCAGCCGACAGCACATCTCCACCCCAGAGGAGGTGGGGGCAGAGGGGGTGGGGCAAAGGGGGTCAGGGTGCCCTGAAGGATGGAGGGCGGCCAGTGGGGCCGGTGACATCAGCTCACTTTCAGGGACACAGATGGCACCTGAGGGGTTTGGGCACCCTGGGGGCCATGGGAAGCGATGCTCCCAGCCTCCATCACCCCGTGTAGCCCTTTCCATGCTTGGTTTTACAGGGGGAGGTGCTGCTCGCGCCCCCAGCACGGTTGCGCTGCTGGTTGCTGCACAAAGGTAATGAGGAAGTGAGCGCTTCCTGTGGGTCTGCTGGGACCCCAAAGTGCTTTGTTGTTTGGTGGCATCCGCTGGAGTTGCAATGAGGGCCTGTCCACAGAGCACCAGCAGCCCTGGGGGAGGGGGGGGAACCTCTGGGTGCTGGGAGAAACCCA